TGGTATTATGCAGGTTTATTTTTTAAAGGTGACACCTTTTTTTAGATATCTATTAGCTCTTTCATCAACATATAATATCACTTTTTCATTTGTGTAGGTGTATTGTTTCCTAATTATTTGAATTTTTAAGGTAAACTAGGTTGATGGGGTTAATTCAAAAATAAATAATACTTTTTTGTAACTTAATATTGGGACATATTTGTGTTGAATTCTTTTTATTTTTATAAAATTGTGACTGGACCATTCATTTTTATTGTATATGTTGTGTTACACCAAGCTTTTATTAAATTTACTCATACAAAATTGAATTCCTTATTTTGCCTGTAATCAGAACAATTTGTGAGACATTTGTGAAAAAAACCCTAGTTAGCTTCCATTATGTTATCACTTTTTTGCCTTCCAACTCTTGAGTAGTGTTTTTTCCTTTCAGCTGTCATTTTTTACTATTTTTAAATACATATTCTTTTATATATTATACATTTATATTAATAACCACCTGGTACGTCATTTTTGTGCAATGTTTTGTTTATTATTATCCTATTGTTTATTATTTCCATCTTTTATTGTGCTTAGTATTTTTATGTGTATTTATTTTTATAATCATTGGTTAACTGTTGGTCACATAATAAATAGCATGTATGGCATTTATTATGTGAATATTCATATCCTGTATACCTTTTACATCTACCTTTTACTCTGTAGAGAGTCTTTAAGAATTCTAAAATGTTATAGTCTCACACCACTATAAATACTGCATTATCTTTTTTAATTATGTTTATATTCACTAAGCAAGAGTGGTTTGTTTTAAATACACTCTCTACAACTTTTTTATTTATATGATTGATTGCTTTTTAAATATATTTACTTAGTGCATGTATAAATAATTAAAACTGAGTTATACAACAATATTCTATTTCCATTTTCATTAAAAGCTTGAAATTCCTTATGATTTAATCACCTGTAAGATGATCACCACAATGAGACCTGTAAAATCTTTTGTGCATGTGGGTGAGCAATATCTAGTGAGAATACTTGTGATTACTAACTTCAAACTTCTGAAGCTCCAGAGTATTTTTGAATAGTGAGCAGAAGATTTTAATAACCTTTATGCTTGCCTTTTGGAAGGAATCTTTTTCCAGTAAGCTAGACTAAGTTCATTTTCCCATTTTCTTATATCCTCTACTGTACATGTTTTTGTAGTCTTGTATGTATCATAGTCAAATATATAAAGGCCAATAGACTCAGATGGGCAGGGCATGTGATACGCAGTAACGACAATCACCTTATAAACAATGTGTTCTGGGAAAGGCCAGATGGAAGAAGGTCTGTAGGGCGGCCTAGAAAAAGGTGGAAAGATGCAGTCAAAGAAGATCTAGAGAAAATGGGAGTGTGACAATGGGAATTACTGGCACAGGACCAACAAACATAGAAGGCAATAGTAAATGTGGCAAAGACTCACGAAGAGTTGTAGCGCCATTGATGATGATGATGATGTACATGTTTTTGGTACACCTTAGAATGGCTTTGGTCTGATAAGGAGTGTTTACTCCTTTTTTTTTAGCAAAACTCATAACAATTTCATTACCAACAATTATTTTTTATGCCCTGGCACCCACAACATAGTTACTTTGTTACACCCTGCCAGTTGCTTAAGGGACTATAGTATGCAATTCAAAGCTGTTATCAAATTTTAAAAGTTGTCGACTTCGAGTCTTCAGTGCAGCTTGGCTGTATGGGGTAATAAATATTTTGGCTGAATTCAGGCATTTTTCACGCACACTTGAGCACAAACAGCCTTACTATCAGTTATGTTTGAAATATTGTAGGAGTATGTCTTAGTTCAATTAACTGTCTGGTTTTAGAACCACTCTTCTGATTTTTAATATTCTTAATTCAATCTCAACTTTATCTAACCACCTAATTCACAGTCAAGCTCTACTTCTTCCTACAGATATTCCTGTGGTTAGCTTTTTAGCAATTGTGATGTCTGGCATTCATATGATGTATCCAGCCCATTTAAGTCACTGCCCTTAGTCGTTTATAGCTATAAATATTTTGTTTGCATTTTACACTTGAATATTCCTTGAAACTTTACAGATAGTACATAGTATACCCTATTTGTAAGGTTTATGCATCTTTTAATTTCTTTGTTTGTTTTGTTGGTAGTAGTCACTAACGAGTCAAGGTATGTGAAGCTGTCAACACATTCAAAGATATGACTTCCAAAGACTGTTTCCTGTTCCTCATTTGCTATAAGATCCTTAGTAACCAACATGTATTTTGTTTTGTCTTGGTTGATGACTAGACTGTCATCACCACTGTTTCCAATTCTAGTAAATATTGCTCAACATCTTGCTTTCTATGCCCTATTATGTCAATGACATCAGCACATGCTAAGATTTGTATTGATCTATTGTAAATAGTACCAACATCCCTATTCCTACTTCCTCAGTATAAAACCTGAAGGTACCTCTTGTGACTTGTATGATTTCGTTTTGTGTTAAGTAACACACATTTATGTTATTTAGTTTGAGTTTGAAATCTTGTTTTGGAGACATAATGTCTGTGGGCATCTTCATAGATTGCCATGTTTTAATCATCAAACAGGTTAACAGGTGTTAGATCCTGATCCAATGTTATTTTATAGACACTTTCCTTACATGAATGTACAGAGGGGATAAAGGTCCAGCATTGCCTTTAAGGCTGAAGTGAGGTAAGATCCCATTACACCTGTGATTCCTACAGAAGTGAATTTTGCCTTGTGGTACATTGTTTTGTTTCACCAAACCAGCATAGCATAAGTAACTATGGGTCTAACAGCCTTTATACATGAACAATATATCATTTTAGAATTTAGACTTTCTATTTGCAACAAAGCCTGTCCAAAGAGCCTCTGTTGCTTTAATGGTTATATTGGGGAAGTGTGCATTCTATGTATATCTAGGATAACTCCAATTCTTAAATCTCTTCTAAGAACTCTTCTTCTAAGTGTGATTCCATTCATAGTCAGAGGTTGGATTGTTAATTTTCTCCTATTTGAGAATGAAACATGTTTCTTATTAGGATTTACTGAAAGTTGAACACACAGTAGTTACACTAGGTTTAATACACTTTGCATATGATCAGCCATAATACTGTTATGCTTACCAAAGAATGAATTAAGAGATTATTTACATGCTAGATAGAATGATAGTTACATATTTACATTTCAGTTTCCTCATATAGTCCACTATATAATATAAAAGGAAATGCACAGAAAATATTATCATAACTCTAAAACATTCAACCACCTGAGCATCTACATTTATATTGTGGACTTTGACAGCTAAAGAAAAAAAACTTCATTGTGTGGTGATTTTTTTCTAGTACTATAAGGCTACTCTACTCTAAAACTCAAGGTGAGGTTTGGAATCTTCCACAATTCACATTCAGTTTCCTCTTTACTGAATCACCTACATCACTCTCAAAGTCTCCACATCCTGCAGCCATTGCTTCCTTGGTCTACCTCTCCTCCTTGTTCATTCTTTCACCCAAAATTTTTCCTTGGCTCTTTGATGACATTCTTTTTGTGTGTTCAAGACATGTCAGTCTTCTCAACTTCACAAGAAGTCATAACTAACTATATTTCCCCACTTCTATCAATCCTTGAAATTAAAAATTACTTCTAATTGTCCCCGAGACACCTTCCATTACCAGTCCGTGAATCATAAGAACTGTTTTTCTTTCCAAAATTTAAAGAGATAACTCATTTACATTTGTTGTGCACCAGGAACTAGCAGCAAGGGTGACAATTGGTCTTATCAAAGTTTTAGAAATCTTAATTGATCAATACATTAGCAATATATTTCTAGTAAATAGTTCATGGTAGGACATGTAATTAGGCGAGATGAAGATACAACAATCAGAAACATTTTCGACTGAAGAGGACCAGTGGGAAGACAAGCCAGAGGAAGACCAAAACTTAGGTATCAAGATAACATAGAGGATGATCTAAAATCCATAGGAGTTAAAGCATGGAGAAATGTTGCCAGAGACAGGGGCGAATGGAAGATTGTTCTGAAGAAGGCTTTGGTTCATAACGAGCTGTAATGCCACTGATGGCACTGTTGTGTAAACAAAAAGAATTACTAAGAATAATCAAAGAGAGGAAAATGCAATACTTGGGTCATGTGTTGAGAGGCGAAAAATATGAATTACTTCAAGTTATACTGGAAGGAAAAGTACAGGGCAAAAGATCAGTAGGAAGACGCCAGAACTCATGGCTGAAAGACCTAAGGAGATGGTTCGACCGCTCATCCGCAGAAATCTTTCGCGCAGCAGTTTCCAAAACCACAATTGCCATTTGGATCGCCAACATTCGAAAGGAGACGGCGCCACGCGAAGCAGAAATGCCACTGATGATGATAAAATAGTTCATGGTGAATCTACTGCCTATCTTTTTTTAAACAAGATTACATAAATTCTCATATTTGATCAGAAATAGAGAAATAGATAATCATTGTATACAGGAAAGGTAACACACAACACACGCAGTCATTTTTGGAGCATTTAGATTTATATCTGAATTGATATTCACTGAACTGCTATTAAACTTTGTTAAAACAAAATCCAAGTTGTTTAGGCAGTTTCAAATTATATTTTTGAACAGACTATTTATGCTTGATAAATTGATATTGTTATACCAATGTTGTGAATTAAAAACAAATTTAGGATAACAAGAACTTGAAAGATTTATACCATTTAGAAATAATTTATATTTTATGAAATAAATAAACAGCAACTGTTATTTTATCCATCGTGTTTTGCAGCCAAAATACATGGAAATAACTTTTAATTTAGAACTTATGTATTTTATTACCTGTTTAATTGATGGCATGTTTGTTCTATTCTAAACACATAAGATTTTTATGTTTATCTTACAAAAATATCAAACTTATTTTAGGAATTAGAACCGTATTGTAGATAATCTACCCTCCCACATCGTGTAGAACCCAGTCACCATGTCAAGTGCTTTAGAAATGGACAATCTGGAGGATGCCAAAAAACTTGTAAGAGATCTGAGACAAAAAACTAGAGCACAAGCTCAGCAGATTATGGCTTGGAGAAAGGCTTACAAAATGCAGGTAAATGTTGCAGTAAATATAATGTCTCCAAAAATATATTACTATACAGGATGCCCAGAAAAGTTTGTTTAATTTTAAACACAATTGGTAATTTCTGTAAGTTAAAAGAGTGTAAACTTTTAATCCCATATAAGCACTGACAACTAATCTAATGAATTAAAAAAAACATGTTTACCTATTGATTTAGAAGTTTTTATTTCTTTTTGTTTTTTGTTAGTATAATAATAAAAAAATTAAACAAATTTCATCAATTGCAAAGTTTTACAGCAAAACTACTAACTTATAACAATCTCCTAGTTGTTAATCTGATACCATATTTCATGATATAATACTGACTTACAATTTATCTTCATATTTCTCAGGTTTGTTACATTCTGAGAGTGCAGAGCCAATGGTTTAACCATAAACCATATATCGTGACAGATACTTTAACTTTAACAACTTTTTTGCCGCCTATCGTTTCTGTTTCTTAAAAAAAAACATTGATTGGAAACTTTGCTCTAATCTCCACTAATTCTTTGAGGAAAGCTTATTGAATTCTTCTCCTCGGAGGGTACAGTACCAAATATTTGAGGACTATGAAACTGTTAAAAGATATTCCTTCGATATAACTTAGCAGACCTCAAGTCGTTGATTCAGTATGTGTCTGGCTTTATTGTAATTAAGATTAGAATAAAGAGTAATTGATCGATATAGCACATTTATTAACAAGAGAATATTTTACACAACAATATTATGAGATAAAAGAGTTTATTTAAAAAATTGTTCATTTATATACTGGGGTTTGAAATATCGCACGAAATAGCGAACTATAACACTGTTCACTATGCCACATAAGATTCAAATAAATATTTATGTAGTTTGATTGTTATGTTGCAAGACCTCTTAGGATGCTTGTTTTGCTTTAGGTGGTACCTAGAGTTTTTTTCGTTTTTCTCCAACAAAATACCTTGAAGAATCTCTTACGGCCGCTTTTTTGCACGCGTTTTTTCATCGCGCGACGACAAAAAACGCGGCGTTCTCTAAAGGAATTGTCTTATATGTACCCTTTTATGTATCAGCATCGGTGAGCCTGCTCGATGCCTGTATAGCGCGTTTTCAAGCTCCGTCGCCCGGAATTAGAGAACGCGTCGCGACAGGCGTTTTATAAGTGCGTTGAATTAAATTGATGCTTTTATGAAACGCGTTTCTTGTGGCTGATGCTTCGATAGGAACTTTTTTGCTAGCCTGCAGACGTGTATCGACGTGTGAAGACCTGAGTTGTTGCCATGCAGCACCTTGATGAACTATTTATCGACGAAATTGAAAAACGAACATCTTTGTGGCATTCATCAACGATGATTACAAAAACATTGTCTTAGTTCTTCATGTAGAGTACGAGGTCTGGCTATTAAATAACGAGACTGCGCGCACAGAAGACGTCCTAGAGGGGAAGAGTGGGAAACGAATGCGTCATTGGTTCGCTGGAAGTGGATTTTTTCTGTAGAGGTTAGAAAAGAACGTGTTTTTTTCTCGTGCCGATAACAATGTGTGACGAAAAACATGAGCAACGGAATAATGTGAAATTTCTCGTTAAATTAAAAAAAAACTCCGACTGAGTGCTATAATTTGTTGAAAGAGGCCTATGGTGAGAATTATCTATCTCGTGCGCGTGTTTTCGAATGGTATAAACGGTTTTCTGAAGGCCGAGAAAGCGCCGAAGATGACCAACGTCCAGGTCGACCTGTCTCTGTTTCAACTCCGCAAACAGTGACCAAAATAAATGAAATTGTGCGCGGAGATCGTCGTATGAGCATTCGGATGATTGCTGAGACTGTAAACGCCGATAAAGAAACTGTCAGAAAAATTTTACATGACGAATTGAACATGAAGAAAGTCTGTGCGAAGTTGGTCCCAAAAAATTTGACCCCTGACCAAAAGCTCTTCCGTCAACAGATCTACTCAGATTTTCTTGAGAGGTTACATGAAGAGCCTGAATTAATGGAAAACATCATCACTTGCGATGAAACCGGGATATTCAAATACGATGTTGAAACTAAGCGACAATCCATGCACTGGAAAACTCCTGCATCACCAAGAATGAAAAAAACAAGGATGTCGAAATCAACATTTAAAGCCATGCCAACCATTTTTTTGACATTAACGGCATCGTGATGACTGAATAGGTTCCAGAGGGTCAAACTGTAGAACAAACTTACTATTTGAAAGTTTTGGCAACGCTGCGAGAGCGAGTTTGTAAGAAACGGCCTGAGGTTTGGAAAAACAAGTCGTGGAACTTGCACTAGGACAACGCACCTGCCCATAACGTGCTGTGTGTAAAGCGTTATTTAGCCGCTAGAGGCATTCCAGTGCTGGAACACACTCCGTACTCGCCTGATTTAGCACCCTGTGACTTTTTCTTGTTTCCGAAGATCAAGTCTGCCTTAAAAGGAATCCGATTCGAGTCGATGGAAGAGGTGAAGCGAAAAACGGCGGAGCTCCTAAAAATACTAACAAAAAAAGATTTCCAGCATTGCTTTGACCAAAGGAAAAAACGAATGGAACGGTGTATGGCGAGGGAAGGGAAATAAATTGAAGGAAAGCATTCGACACGTCAACTTGTGTCATCGATATTCCCAATTTGTATATTAAAACACATAATGCGTCTTCACAGACAAATCGAATTTTGATAAGTGAAAACAATCACTTACTATAGTAGTTTTTAAGGTATTTGGTTGACTTCAACAATTGCTGGTCATAATCACTCTGAATTTGTTGTAGATTAGTTGTGAGCGCTCGGTTTCAGGTATAACAAATTTAAATGCGTTCCTACTGTTCATAGAAGTTGTCAATACTAGGTTTGTCTCAACACAACAAAAAACGTCATAAATATCATCATAAATATGATTCTAACAGTGCAACCAGTGGAAATGACAAGATGGGTTAGGTCAAACTGAGGTGGATAGACAGGGTAACAGAGGATGCTGAAAAGATAGTTGTTTCCACCTGAAAAATCCAAGAAAGGGAACGAGCAGAATGGTGCAGAAAGCTTGAGAAGGTTAAGGCCCTTTATGGGCTGCAGTACTATGATGATGATAATGATAATACGCTTATGTTATTTATTTATATAAATGTTTTTTCCTTATTTATAATTTTATAATCAGAAAACTAAAACAATAGTAGTCAGCAAAGTACCAACCAGATGGAAAATAGAAATTGATGTCATCAGTATTGAACAAGTAATGGAAATAAAATACCTGGAATTACACTGTCTAGCTATGGAGACCTGGAAAAAGAAGTGAGAGATCAAGTACAAAAAGCAAATAGACTGGCAGGTTGCCTTAATAACACTATATGGCGAAACAGACACATTAACACTAAGATGAAGTCAAGAATTTATAAAGCCAGTTAAGACCAATAATGACATATGCCTCAGAAACAAGACCCGACACAGCCACAACGCAAAGGCTACTGGAAACGACAGAGATGAGAGTACTGAGAAGAATTACAGGAAATACGCTGAGAGATCGAAAGAGAAGTGAAGACATTAGAAGAAAATGTAACGTAAATTGTATAACCCGTGTCGTCTAAATTGCAAGAGATAAGTCACCAATCGGCAGAAGAAGTATCGGACGACCGCTCAAAATATGGAGTGACAACCTTTCATAGAGGTATTAATCCGCCAATGAACAAGCAGAATTGCTTATAAAGAAGAAGAAGAAGATTTTATAATATGACTAACTACAAAGCAGGCAGTGATTTTTATAATTTTGATAGTAGTCCGAATATTTTGGGGATATTAGCTGAACCTAAAGTGAAAAACCAGAACTTTTTAGGTAGATTGGTTTTTAGTTTTATTTTATTTAAATATATGATGATCTCTAAGAAGGAATAACAAATTGAAAGAATCAGTGTGAATGGTCAACCAATAGAAAGAGTAAAAACATACATCTAACTTGGTACGAACGTCAATGCAAATTGGGACCATTCCCTAGAAATTAAATCTAGGATAGAGAAAGCAAGATCTACATTTAAAAAATGGCTAAGCTATTAGAATGCCACGATTTATCAGTATCCATAAAAATCAGGTTATATCTTTCCTATACTGTTGTACGTTGCTATATGGAGTTGTTTGTTCTTTTTCTTTTTCAATGTCGACTTGCCCCCCCCCCCCAGAATCCTCGGGACAGACCATTGTTACGGTGTGGGACTGTGGAATAGAATTCCTACCCACCTGGGGTACCTTCCGTGTTTCTGTTGCAATCGACATGTTTGGTTTTGGAGGTTTTGGCCATAACCCACCACGCTGGCCAGACGGGTTGGTGGGGTATAAGAATGTATCGTGTCTACCATTGTAACCGAGGTTAGCGGCCTACTCAGTTCAGCCAACACCCCTCAGAAAAGATGGATCGGCACCACTCATTCTTAATGGAATTACATTTCCTTAATTCCGGATGTTACAGCTATACCGCTGATACTCGGTCGTCAGAGCCTCGTTTGTGATAACAGGGTTCACCAACGTGAAGGTGAGGTTGACATTTGAGTAGGAGAGGCTGTTTGAGACGCATCACTACCCCCAGAACCCAAATTGGAAATATGTTGCTCAGGATAGAGACCGATGGAAGGAGTTGGGAGAGGCCTATGTCCAAACATGGACGACAGAAGGCTAAGAAGAAGAAGAAGATACTGTTGTACGGAGTTAAGTCGTGGACTCTCACAGACGCTACTTGTACGAAAATTGAGGCTTTCGAAATGTATCTTTATCGTAGAATCCTGAAGATATCCTATACCGACCTCGTTACTAACCAGGAAGTTTTATTAAGAATGCAAAAAGGAAAAGAGTTGTTAACTACAATAAAAACAGCCAAAATTGAATACCTCGGTCACATCATGAGGAACAACGAAAGATATGGGTTGCTGCAATTAATTCTTCAAGAAAAGTAGAAGGAAAACGAGGACCAGGAAGGCGAATAATTTCCTGGCTGAAAAATCTACGTACGTGGTTCAACACAACAACCACA